CTAAGCACTAATTAGCCTGCCATATTTCAGGTTGTCCGGCCTAAGATAAAACTGTAACCCAGTCCTCCATTAAGGGTTCTCTTCCTGTTGCTCAAATCGCATTTTTACCATACGGTAATGTTCTAATTCTTTCTCAGAAACAGAGGGTATAAGTTCCCGCAAAGCTTTCTCAAAATCCTCTTGTGTGACTTCTACAAGAATATCATCAGATGTTGCGAGATGATTTAGATAATACTGCGATGTTACGGGTTTAGGGAGGTTGGGTGTTGGATTGGAATTCAATTGAGCTATTGAAAATTTGTAGAATCATTAAGTGATAAATACAATATATATATTTATATTCATTGAGATTGTCGAAAAATGACCGATTTTACATACAAACTTTGGCTTCTACTGCCTCAGCCGTTCTTGACATGGCTTTCAACATAGCATCAGAACATAAGGCATAGAAATCTGCTCCAGTATAGTTAAATGGACATTTTTCTGCTACAGCACGAAGGTCCAATGATGGATGTAAACGGAATCTGATAAAAAAAAATATATGTGTTATTCAAATATCATATGTGTACATAATTTAAAAATATTATTAATATTATTCATACTTTCTTGTAAGTGCCTGAATGATTTTAAGTTGTGCATCATGGTCTTCACTTACTCCTAGGTAAAGTAATTTGTCAAAACTGAAAAAGAATAAGTTATAATCTAATCATATTGATGTACATATAAACTATTCAAAAAATGTAAATATATCGAAAATACAAACCGTCCAGGTCTTAGTAGTGCTGGATCTAACAAATCCGGCCGGTTTGTTGCACCAATAACAAATACGTCTGCTGCCCCACCACCTTGCCCCATTCCATCCAATTCAGCCAAAAGTTGACTAACAATTCTATCCATTACACCACCAGAGTCTCCCTTCTCTCCCCTTTTCGGAGCAACTGAATCCAGTTCGTCAAAAAATATTACGCATGGTTTAGCGTCTCTTGCGCGTTGGAAAACGCGTCTAACATTAGCTTCTGATTCTCCGATGTACATGTTGAGAAGCTCGGGACCTTTTACAGAAAAGAAATTAAGAGAGCATGAGGTGGCAACAGCCTTGGCGAGAAGTGTTTTTCCTGTTCCTGGTGGTCCATAGAGCAAGATTCCTGATCTTTTCTTCATGCCACTAGCGAACAATTCTGGATGTTCAAGTGGTAATTGTATAGTATCTAATATAATATTTTTTACAGATGCAAGGCCTCCAACATCATCCCATGTCACATTCGGAATTTTTGGGGCGCCAATACTATCTGAA